ACATAACCAGAGCCCCCATCCTCAAGGTGGTTCTAAGAATCATCATAATTGAGCTTGTACCAACCATCGTTAGGTTTCTCCCATATTAATTGGGAGTTGATGTATCTCTCTATAACCCTCGGGAGTATTGAATATAGTAATTATTATAATTATTGTAAAGACTCTATTACAAAGATATAAAGGGTTTATTTTAAAGAATTAAAAATAATATTATTTTGAGCTTGTTGAAGAAGACTAAGAAATAATACGATTTAAAGTAAAACTCAACTTGGATTATAAGAAATTCTAGAAGACTAAAATATAATCATAGTGAAAGAATAAGTGAAGAAAATTTTCAAAAGCATTGCTACAAAATGGGTAAGCTGAAAGGAGGCCAATACCAAGAGCTTGAAGCCTGTTTATGGTAAAGTGATGGTGCTCTATGGAAGGCAGGATGTTTCCACAAATAATGTCATATATATTTATCCATGGAAGAAACTATGGCTTTAGGTTGAAGGAAAAAGGAGAGATTTGATAGAGGCTCAATCTTGGTTGCCACATCAGTTTATCATCTATGAGACAAATCAATCCTAAAAATTAGGTTAGCATTAACATGGTCAATGTTTCAAGTAGAATTTGAAATCAAATCACCAACCAAAATATAGTTATGAATATTCATATTAAAAAAATAGATTTTTCTAAAATAGGAATATCCAAAACCCATGCATCATGAAAAAAGTTAATCAAAAAATCATTAGCAATGTGTTTAAAGTAACCTTCCCTTAGATATTCAAAAGCATTAAAAATAAGTTTTTAACTACAACTTAAATTATATTTAGCTTTGACAATGCTAACCCAAAGATTGAAATCACAATTAAGATAACAGAAAATTCATTCGGCTTGCAAAGAAACTTTAGAGATCAAAATTTTATCTTATTAAGAGTAGCTTATTAAGTTATTAGATATGCAAATTTTTTTTTTGCCAAATAAAGTTCTTGATAATACAATTTATCTTACCAAGAGTAGCTTCAAATAGAGTGAGGATTTGGGTAATTATAGTGAGAGGGCAATTAGACTCATCGTGCGAATTCCAAACACTTGAAACTAAAGTTCTCACAGCATCATCATATTCAATCCAAAAATTTTAAAAATAAAATAATTAAACATAAGGTTGATAAGGTATATTTTGGGTCCAAGACACATCACAGTCGATGTCATGCCACACTACAGTCGAATCAGCTAGGGGAACACCCCCACGCACTAAGCCAGAGGTTGTACAAAGACACTGCACGGTATGTCTCGTCCTGATGAGCCCAGGGCGACGCCGCATGGCGCTGTTCCATGCGTCCCGTGGCGACGACCGCCCAAAGGTATCGTCTCACCTCCCAAGGATCGGTCGTCGTGCTAGACCCATGTACGACCGACCCTCGTACGATAGTATAAGAGCCCCTGGCCGGCATCCAACCAGGGGGGAGCAAAAGAAAAGAAGAGAGCTGACCACTGACTTGCTCGTCGGAGGGGCCAAAGTCGGGAATCACCCGACAAAGGCCATTTTTGTAGGAAAACGATCACCCTTGAGCTATGAGCATTTCAACCTGGGAATTGCTATCCAGTATACGAAGGCAAGCTGCTACCACCCTAGAGACACAGAGATGCTGCTCAACATCAATGGCGCCTGGACCGAGAAATGCTGATCAACACCCCGTCATGAGGGCCCGGCCTACCTCGGCATCCAGCTCCGTCGACAGAAAACTCCCGACATCAACCCGTGGACCAAGCCATGCTGACTCATCAGCCACGGCATATTTGTTCACCACCAAAGCCAAACTTATGTGAATAATAATATAAAGCAAGCAATGATCAAAGAATTTTCTTGAATCATGCATCATGGTGGAACATATAAAGGAATTAAGCCACCTAGGGTTGACAAATGCTCTATCAAGCCTCACCGAAACCTTGGTTGCTGCTCCTCTATAGTTGTTAAACTAGGTGTGTATTTGTTCTCAAAGAAACCAAGATCTTGAAGACCATAATAACCATTGATAAAATTTGAAAAGATGTTATGGAAAAAGAAGCATAGAATCATATCTGATTCATAGAGAGAAGAAGAGAGATCCTCCTATAGTATGTTTTGAAGGTATTTAACCCTCCCTTTCTTGTGTTTTGTAGTCTCATTAACCCTCTTGCCATGGGCAGCAACCACCTTGGAACTTTTGGAAGGTAAAGCTTTACGCCCATCCGAAAGAGGAGGAAGAAGGTGAGCCAAAACTTGATCTTAGACTTTCAGGTCATTTATTTGAGGTAGCCACATGTGGAGATATAAAGACATCCACAACAACTGTTGAGCTGAAACATAAAAGGAGAAAACTAAATCAATCAAGTCCTTACCCCTATCAAGGGAAGTATTTTGACCTTTGACCCAATTCTTCAGACAGAACGAAGGGATCGAATGGCAGGTCCTCAGAGATCACAACAATATTATTAATGAAAGCATTTAAAGTAGGATCAAGCGAGATTTTTGGTCTTAGAATTCAGGCCCTTGGAGTAGTGCTCTTTGTACAAGGAAGGTCAGTAGAAGATTGATTGATCTCAATCGCAAAAGGAGCCTTTTGCTAATGCGCTTGCAGAACATGCCCATTTGATTTAGGCAAACCAAAGTGTGACGCTACCATCACAGGGCTTCCATGACACCCATCAATCAAGTCTCAATGTGGCAGATTCTTGTTTGAGTCCCTCCTTTTCTCCATCTTCGATTTGGGATGCTGGCAAGCCACCATTCTCTCCTGGACCATAAGCTATGGTTCAAATGGACTCTCATTATTAAAAGTAGCCTTCTTAGTTTGTAATTATGTATTTACCAGAGTTTCGAGTTCAGCTCATGTTACCAGTATATATATATATATATATATATATAGTATATATATTATATATATATATATATAATAATAATAATAATAATAATAAAAGTTAAAAAAAAGGGTGACATTGTCGAGGCGATGTCATGTCGTTTCTTCTCCCTGTGCGGATTAGGAGAAGTCGCCGACAACGTTGAGGTCTCCCCGTGAAGCTTTGGTGACGTCGTCGAGGTTTCTTCTCCCCATGTCGAGATTTCGTCTCCCTGTGCGGATTAGGAGAAGTTGTCGACGACATCGAGACCTCGTCACCTCAAATGAGGAGGAGGTGACATCTCATCTGTAGCATCCGGCGAGAGAGGGCGACGACGGATCAGGATCATCGAGGGAGAGAGATGCCAGATCTTTAGGTTCTTCATTTTCTTCTCCCTTTTCTTCATTCTCTCTTGGCTAAAACCATTCGGTAATGGGCGGCGATAATCAAAATCAACCATCACTGATCGATTTCAGATGGTAATGAGGTGGAAACAACCTCAATCGACGGTAGCAGACGATTCGCATATCAATATGTTAGTGGATCGGTATATATCATTTGGTACGAATGGTATGATTCGAAATTAAATACTTTGAAACAACATAGGTAACACTCATATGAGGCAATGTTGCCAGACGTGTTGTTGAAGCCACCTTCACCTACTCGAAAGAGTATTCATAAAGCTTATGACCTATATATTTACAAAGAAAGCACATGGTCAGAAGATTTTTTTATAGGAAACTACTCGAAGGAAACCAAAAGAGGGAGGACCGATCCAAACTTGTTATTTTAAGGGAATAGATAAAAATCAATCGGATACAAATCCAAACAAATCAACCACGCTCAAAATGTAAAGATCATTCATCAATTTTAGAAGGACAATCAATCGAAAAAGTATCTCTAATTCTAATATTCAAGTAGTAAAAAAGATTTGACGGACTTATGAATCCTTGGTTTCATACTCTTCAATCAATATGGGACTAAATGACCTTATCAAGTAACTCCATTATTATACCACCGAATAAATATACTTCCTTAAAAATCAATTATCCAAAACAAAATTCCATCAATCCATTTTCACTCAAGCTATCTAACACCTTCAAGTTACATTGTGCTCGGTTATTGAGTTTTAAATACTACTATATCTTGATTCCATATCATTCCACAATCAAACACATTAATTCCGATCAATCTGATTAGTATATTAATTCCTCAATCATCTCCCATATCTCATCTCTTCCGTGAGCGCCGATTGATCGATTAGATTCGGACCATTGGGGATTGACGTTAATTTGGGCCTCGAGTGCCACATCGAATCAAACCCTTAATGATAGTAGACTGCCTCTACATCATTGTTTAATTCATGGAATCCACATATCATTGTTTAATTAGACCAAAATATTCATCATATATATATGCTCAACAACTCCTTTTAATTAAGAGGAAACACGAAGATAAATATAAGCAACTCAACTCAACGCATTTGTTTCATTCGGCAACTCGGATTCCTTGGATCCTTCCTTCAAAGGGCAGCTATTGCCCAGTCCAAGCTGTAGCGACACATTGACACTTGGCTCGTTCTCCTCCAATTCCAACCAAACTCCTTACCAATTGGCCACTCCTCCTGCCATGCTTCGCTTTCGCAGTCTAATTCTTCAAGTCAAAGTGAGGGCGTCGCCTGATGTGAGCATTAATTAAGTTGGTAGAACAGGAAAACTCGCCGGCCGATGCCGCTGCTTTGTTCGTATAAACTTCCCCGATGATGGAGACGTGGAGACGAAGACATGCAATGGAAAAAGGGGACCCACGAGTTGCATGTGAGTTGGAGTTGCCATTCCTTTGCTACCGCAGAAGACAAAGGCGAAAGCCGGCAACTAAGAGTGTGACCAAGTGATAGCAACATGCAACGGGACACAGGAATTCTCTCTCTTCAACCCAACAACAAACATACTCATTTCTCCTAATCTTAGCTCACCAAACACGAACGATGGTCATTCAAATTCCTCCATCTGGACCAATTTTTCTAATCCGGAAATTTTCTGTGTGATGGAAAAGATTCCAAACTAATGAAACCCGTTGGAGATATCCAATAAAAACTTCCCCGATAATTCCTCCCCCCTCCGCGCATATATCAAGAAGCCAACCCCCTTCGCTGTTTCTTCCAACCCATTCCCAAATCCCCTCGCTCTTCTCCTCTCCCAACGCCGCCGACTCCGTCCGTATCCAGAGGAGGGGGAATCATGGGATCGGTGGGGGAACCGGTGGCGAGTCCGAACACCTTTCCCGTCCGCCCCTCGCCCTTCCGCTACAACTCTCCGCTGGCCCAAGTGAGCCTGATCGGGCTGGTGTGCTTCTGCTGCCCCGGCATGTTCAACGCGCTATCCGGCATGGGCGGCGGCGGCCAGGTCGACCACACCGCCGCCAACAACGCGAACACCGCACTCTACACGACCTTCGCTGTATTCGGCGTCCTCGGCGGCGGCTTCTACAACCTCCTCGGCCCCCGCCTCACCCTGTTCGCCGGCTGCTCGACCTACGCCCTCTACGCCGGCTCCTTCCTCTACTACAACCATTACCAACACCAACTCTTCGCGATCCTCGCGGGTGCGATCCTTGGCATCGGCGCTGGCCTCCTATGGGCTGGCCAGGGCGCCATCATGACCTCCTACCCGCCGCCGGAGCGCAAGGGCACCTACATCTCCCTATTCTGGGCCATCTTCAACATGGGCGGCGTTTTCGGCGGCCTCATCCCCTTCTTTCTCAACTACCACCGAACCGACGCTCGCTCCGTCAACGACGGCACCTACATCGCCTTCATGTGCTTCATGGCTGCCGGCGCCCTTCTCTCCCTCGGCATCCTGCCCCCCTCCCGCGTCATCCGAGACAACGGCACCCGCGCCACCGCCGTCGCCTACTCCGACGTCAGCACCGAGGCCGTCGAGATCCTGAAGCTATTCGCCGACCGGCGGATGCTGCTCATCGTGCCGGCGGCGTGGGCCAGCAACTTCTTCTACAGCTACCAGTTCAACAACGTGAACGGCCTCCTCTTCACCCTGAGGACCAAGGGGCTCAACAACGTCTTCTACTGGGGCGCGCAGATGGTCGGCTCGCTGGCCATCGGCTACGTGCTGGACTTCAGCTTCAGGAGCCGGCGGACGAGGGGGTACGTGGGGATCACGGTGGTGGCGGTGCTCGGGACCGCCATCTGGGCCGGCGGGCTCGCGAACCAGCTGCGGTACACCGACGGCGTGTGGCAGGACGAGCTCGACTTCAAGACCTCCGGTGCCGACTACGCGGGACCGTTCGTGCTCTACTTCAGCTACGGCTTGCTGGATGCCATGTTCCAAAGCCTGTGCTATTGGATGATCGGCGCGCTGGCCGACGACTCCCAGACTCTTAGCAGGTTACTCCTCCATCAGTCATGTTCTTCTCGCTTCAATTCCGCTTCAAAACAACGTGTCTGCTTCGTGAGCATCGCCATCATCTCCATTTTGTCCTGTACACAATTGCAGGTACAGCGGATTCTACAAGGGAGTGCAGAGCGCGGGTGCCGCAGTTGCTTGGCAGGTCGACACGCACAAGGTCCCCCTGCTATCGCAGTTGATTGTGAACTGGTCTCTCACCACGGTGAGCTACCCATTACTAGCTGTCTTGGTGATGCTATTTGTGAAAGATGGAAACACGGCCGAGGACGGCGAGAGCGACCATCCAAAAGTCATGAGCTCCTAAAGCTTGTGGATAACGCTCATAGACTGGCTTTTGTACGTATACCTGTTGTTTTAGTTTAGCAACTCTGCTATTCATGTTGTTCCTCTGTCAGTCAACTTGTTAGGAGGAGAGCATGGGATATGGTTCAAAGATTTCACGACTGTGAAATTGTGTACTCAGTCCTTTGGTATGTTCTACTAATAAATTATATATCATTTTCAGAATCATTCATACCATGATAAATTTAAAGCATGTAGCTATCTGCATCCCTTTCCACTCCAACACGAACCGGCGGCGAACGGAAGAAAGCACGATTCCTTTAAGGAGCTACAGAAGCCAACGACACAAGCAACCGATGGCTGTGTCACGAAACGCTTTCCAGGACACGGTTGCCTAATACATGTCATGTGCATGCTGCTTGTTTTGGGTTTCTCTGGCCCGGAACGCTATGAGTTGTATATGCTTCCCTCTCCGCTCTCGTCATCGTCATCGTCATCCTCGCGGTCGGAGATGGCTATGTGGACGCCGGGGTCCTCCGCCGTGCAGCTTCCGCCGAGAACGATCGAGTTGTTGACGGCCTGGTAGTTGCTGTTGGCGCATGCGGCCAGTGCGTTCTCGTCAGCCCGCAGCGCTCCGCCCGTGTCCACCATCTCCTGCGAGTTCACCCTTGTCACCGCGCCTCTGTTCTCACCCGCGAGCACGACGATCCTCGTGCCATCGCCGCCCTCCTGGCCGAGGCCCATGGCATCGGCGTGCTCTCGGCTGCTCGACTTGGGAACCATGGTCGAATAGAGGTGAAATCCTAGTCCCCGTCGGTCGGTCGTGACACGCAGGTGTCGGACAAAGATCGATAGATTTATAACGGAGATTGAAGCTTGCTATGGAATGGAATTATTCTTATCTTGTAACGAGATTTAAGCTTGCATGGCGGACAAGGGACCGAACTGCATATTCCGGTCGCAAGGTTGGAAGCCAAGGATGCGATTGCCATGGCTTAACACCCAAGAAATCTTATGAATTAATCTTGGAATGAAGTGTTGGGACTCCTCAACATGGCAATCTCGTGTTCTGCTGCTTATATTTCAGTCGGCAAAGGTAGCCAACACGACAACATGACAGTCGAAGCTTCAAGTGCTCTCCATACAAGCAAATGAGAGATAAATAGTTGTTGTAAGGGTGGGAGAGAGTTGGGAAAGTCTTCCTCGGACAAACGTATAAGTGGGACAGGACATCATGGGTTTAAGGTTGTTGTTGGGTAGCTAAATGTAACGCAGATGTAGTTTCATCAGCGACTGTCCTTGCTTCTGCAGAGAACTGACAGATTTAGCTCCTGCTACAGATTTTGGCACGCTGCTAACGCCAAGAGCAGTGAAGACTCCGTCGACCATTTCTTTCTTTGCAGGTCCGCATGCAAGAGCTGCCGAGGGAGCTGTACAAGAGCACAAGTGAAACCTGGAACTGGTTTCTCGAGTAGCAGCCATTCCGCAGGACTCTTTCCACCAAGTTGCTGCTATGACACCGAATTAAGTGATGGCATGACTTCACTATTGCGTCCATCTCCTCCACCTTGGTTAAAATTGAAGCAGTGATGCTTGCTTGCTTATAATGTTGTCATGAAACAATCTTGTGAAGTTCTCTTGCAAGTAGAATATTATTGGTCACACGATGTTCTAACTCAGATTTGAAGGGCACAGCACACAAATAATGCCCTTCAAAGCCACGAATAGGTAGGTGTTCAGTAGCATGCCAATCTCGACAAGTACTGATCGGTTTTATGTTGGGAAGAAAGAAGAGATTTGAAGGAAAGATTTCGTTGTATTGGAGAAAAATACTGCAGCATATACAAAAGATTTCTTTTTAAAAGAGTATTCTGTTGAATTTTTAGATCTAAAACCTTAAACTCCTAATCTAAAGTAGTTGCACCCATTAATAGTTTATCAAAACTGTACACGCATTCATATTAAAATCATAAATTAGTCTTGAACTATAGGTTGATCATTTATACTACTACTGAACATATCTCATCTTTATTCACCAAGTCTTTATTCATCAATATGTTTCCTCCGATACTTAAGTCAACAGGGAAAAACTCTTCCGACGTGAAGGATAAAAATCATAATATATAATGAAATTAAATAAAAAATTATAATTAAATATGAAATCAAGATTTACGTGAAAAACTCTTCCAACGTGAAGGATAAAAATCACGTGACAAACTAGAGATAATCCACTATAAAAATAATAAAAGTATAAATCTCAGTATTTTGCCTAAAACTCAAGCAACAAGCTCAAGAGAATAACTGAGATACAAGGATCATGTCACTGTGCACAATATCCAAATTCTCTAATCACAGTCTCTCTGCGTTGTTTTTGTCTTCTTCCCTTTCTTTCTCTTATTTTTTCTATCATTTTCTCCTCCTTTTTGAATCAAGTTGCTGCTGCGATTTGATGCATCGTTAATGCAGTTTTCGTAGCCACCACACTCCCCTTATTAGATTGGGTTAGATGAAAGGGGATGGATTATAGACTGTTAAAACCCACTATGGGCTGAATGTATGGGCTATCAGCCCAACAGCACTAAGGAGTCTTCAGTTCTATCATTTAGTTGGAGAAGAACAGTAGACTATACCACGGGTTTGGAAAGGCCCTGCAACCACTCTATTTTGTAGAAGGAAGATATTTTTAACAATAATAGTACACTAATCACTAAAAATATATCGACAATATACTTGAATCTGAAACTAATATGTAAAGAGAAAAAATATTATTATATTTTTTTCTCGCTCATTCATATTAATTTTAATATTAAATGATATACGATCGATGTAATGAGATAATTAATATGAATCAATTATCGAAATATTTGAACTCAACTACTAGTAATAAGTTTTTATAAATTCAATTCATTCAAGTCTTCTTCAACTTCACACTTATTGATACTAATAATAGGATCTAAAATGCAAATAAGTAGAATAACTATCTACCAGTTACTAAAGCTTGAGGCAATTGTTTGAAGGAGAGACATCCTAAAAGGCAAAACAACGACTTAGATCTTCGTAGATTTTCATATTAACCGATGGCAAAAGCTTTCCATCGACTTGCATATAGAAAATTATAGCAAGTAGTATGTTTGAGAAATTTGTCTCTTCTTGCCGACGATGTAAACAATAAATTCGTAATAGAAGAAAACAAAAGTTGTAACAAGACAAATGCAGATGTGAGCATTAATGACTGTCTGATGTCGGAAGGGACAATGTTTTAAGAGTAAGAAATGGAGCTCAGCATTTGGCTCGAGAACATCTACTCTTGTCGCTTGATGAAAGAAACGGTCAGCGATAACAAGTCAAGCATGAAAGGCCACTAAGATCTAATAACCATATATTATAAGCATCAATCAGTGATCGCTTGGAAAGACGCAAAGAATTATACAATATTCACATTAGAGAGGCCATGTTGTCGCATTGAAAATGGGACAGAAAGACGTCTCTCAGAAGACTGGCAAAACCGTTGACATTTGTCATTGTGATCTATTCTGTACTGCTTCACTTTCATCCTCTCTCTCTCTCTCTCTCTCTCTCTCTCTCTCTCTCTCTCGTAGTTACAAGTGTATATCGTCAAATACCCTACTCATAGCTCTGCGAGCTTTACACAGAGAAGAGGCAGTGGTAACACCTGAATCTGAATCCCCAGATCAGGGATTAGCAAATTGGTTGACCACATGGAACACTTACAGGTGAAAACACAACGGTCAGTGGTGCATGATCGGAGAGAGAATAATTTTCTGGCCACATCCCTCGCTCGACTTCTGGTGGGAAGAGGACAGCGTCCTTCACGTTAAAACCCAAGGTCTGCTGTCTCCCTCCCATCATCTGTGTTCCGTCGATTCCCGGTGCTATTTTCTCCTCGGGTGGCTCTGAACATTTATGATTCCAAATTCGCTGCTGCAAGAGCAAGTTGTTTCCATGAGGATATGATATGCATGCAGGGCTAACACTTAATTCTATTTCCTTGACTCAGCATGCTTGGTTTAAAGATTTGCGAGTTAGAACACCGGTCAATATATAATGTCATTCAACCAGTTAATGCAGTGGGGTTTCAGGAACCTTAGTAATAACGTCTCTAGAGCATATACCTGAAACTCTTCATAGTCCACGACACCATTTCCATCAATGTCGACTTGAACCCATAGATCATTTGTATCTTTAGGACCAAGACCATGAGGATGGCCAGCTACACCCAGCTGAATTGATTTGATGCATTAAACATGTTAGATTATTGATTTAATAAATGATTTCTTAGTAAGAAGTTTTAATTACCTGACAAAGTGCCTGACAGAAACCAGAGTAGGTAATGTAGTCACCAGGACTGTCCACTTTAAGGAATGCAAACGCATTATTCTCTGTAAGAGAAGCTGTTCGAAGAAGATACTGAACATGAAACAATTCAAGTCAGCCTATGAATTCTTTTCAAGATAAGATGTAAAAGATGGGGGGGGGGGGGCCATAAATTTGACAAACATCAGAATGTTTTCAGAAATATGTGAAAAAATTGCAAATAAACATGTCATGATTCTTTACTATGCAAATTTAGAATGAACGACATGCTCATTGCGCCTTCAGATGTATATATCTTTTCCTCGAGGAAAAGGGTCTAACATAACTATGATTGTAGAGAAAGCAGAGGAAGCATTCAAGTGCCACTGGATCACGGAAAGATCTCTCTACTGCCATTGCCTAAGTTGGAAAAATGAGTTCCTTTTAGCTGAAACTCTTTGCTCTCTAAGAAGAGCATGATATGGGTTACAGATGCAATATCACTGGACAACAACAGCATATAGCATAAAGGCATCGTCGGTACAGTTAATCCAAATAAAGTATTCACCTTAATAATGCCAAATACAGCTTCATTCCAGCTAGTTCTCAAGGGTTTCCTGCACTTATTTGGATTTAAAAGCCATATAAAATCAACTCCACAGATGTTCCCACGGTGATTGCGATGGCTAACCCACTGCAAGCAGAACAAAAAAAAGAAAGAAAAGAGAGATGTCAACTAACATTAAAAAATTGACAATTATGGCATCAAATTTAGCATATATAAATATGACAAACCTTGTGAGCATCAAAATCACTGTACTGATGAGCAGTATCGTATGATGATACAAACCCTTGGGACCTTAGGAACTTATAAACATGCCCTCGTTTGCTTCCATTCCAATCGCTGGAAAGTAGAGTATAAGATTAGAAAATTTCATACTATTCACTAATTTAAGATGAATGCGTGTGTATAGTACTCACCCACAGAGTATGATAGGCATAGGATCAAGATTGTGCTCTTTCTGATATGTCTCTATATACTGAAGGATCTTATACACCTGCCGGTAACAAGCCAATATCAAAGTTAAGTCACATGTAGGTAAAAGTGGAAGAAAATCCAACGCAAAGAACAGAAAGGATTACCTGTTGCAAACGAACTATACACAAGCTAGAATCGTGAGGAAATAATAAATGGGTATTTACAATGAGGACTTGCTGCTGAATGCTGCTTTTTTGCTCTTGCCAAGAAGGATCAACTGACTCAACATGTAACAGCTGAGCAACACGATCTCCAAAGTCATTAAAGAGCAATTCCCGATGGTTTATTATCTTAAAATAGTCTCTGTGGACAGCAGTGAGGAGTCCTGCACACAAATCGATAGATCTCTTGTAAGCAGAAAAATAGTGCAGCTAACAAAAGTAACTACTAAAGCTGGTCTTCTAATATTTCATAATAATTCTAAATATATATATACATATATATTACATAATAATGCTACATTCTGCTATTTCTCTCCAAAGATTGCACATCTTAAAAATCTGTCTAAAACTCAAAGTACACTTTGGAAAATAGGACTTGGGAAGTTAATTATTCAACGTTATTTTGTTGGATTAATAAAAATAAGAGGCAATCAAGACTAATTTGTGCAAGGGAGAGATTGAAGGAAGATTTTACAGTGGTGATATCACTTGAAACCAAATTTATCATAAGCTAATTAGTCTCATTGTGGTCCAAAATGTAAAAAATATCCATAGCCTTGATAGGTATGTCAAATTTTCATACACCTAAAACAAAAGATATTTAAGCAAAGAACACGAAAGATTACTAGGGAAGAGGATAGGCTCTGCTGGCCAGCAAGGCTAAAAGTTTGTTGGTCATTACCGTCCAAGAACTTCTCAATTTCTTTTCTTGAGGAAAGCCAAAGTGCATTGATTGGAATGACGGTTCCATGCAGTAATTAAATAGCACAAGAACCCTAATTTCCTCTAGAAAACTGCACTGATTAACATGACAAACGACATTCTGTTCATTTAATTTGTCTATTGGAGAATTCTCTCAAATGTCAACTGGAAGAACATAACACGTCTATAAAGCAAATTGACAGAAATAACAAATAAAGATCTTTGGCAAGTGCACCATCATCCCACTTGGCAATTGCAACAGATAACACAAAAATGAGGAATCAAACAAATGTCCTTTTTTTTTCACTACTACTTGTTTTAGTCCAATTCCCAGAAAGGGATTCTCGCTCCATAATAGAAAAAATTCTGGAGAATCTAAATTCTCATTCCTGTATAGGAATCTACAAAATTAGGTCATGGAATTCCATCTCTCATGTTTGGAATCAAAACGCTAAACAATCAGATCTCTGGAAATAATAAAGCAAAACTACATCGTCAAAAGAAATAAATTAACGTAAATGAAAGCCTCCTTTTTTTTCTCTTAAAAAGCAATGTTAATAATCTAAATAGCAGAAAAGGTGCCCTCAGTCACAATACATCAAAAACATTCCATTCAAAGCCGCAAGAGATCTAAGAAATAGGAGGATCAGACATGCATACCATCGCCACGATTGTTCGTCCGTGCGAGCTTGAAACTGACATAACCAGCTTCGCCTAACCTCTTCTCATACATATCGACGAGCTCATCATTCCCCAACCAGACCTCCTAAACCAATTCACGCCAAACTGATCAGATTCGCAGCATCTCTCATCCGAAATCCAGATTATCATTCTTACAAGGAACATCGATCGCACCTGGAGGCAGATTATGGAGGAACGATCGCCCAAGAGCCGCTCGATGATCCTCTCGTTCCGGCTCAACCAATACGCTCTGTACTGGCTCTCCCTGCAGCTCTGATCCTGTCAAACAGAGAGGACCAAAAGTCAAACAGGTTGAGGAAAGGCGAAGGCGAACGGCAATGAGGAAACGAAGAATGGGAATCGGCTGCTCACCTCCTCGCTGAGCCGTTTGTAGATGGGCGCGAGAATGTTGAAGGTGGTGCAGGAGACGCAACGCTCGGAGCCCACCATCGAGCCGCACCCCATCCGCATCCTCTTCTTGTTGTCGCTGATCTTCCTGATCCTCTGCCGCCGCTGTTTGAGCCTGTCGACGCCCGGTTCATCATTTCGCTCCTTCCTCTGCTCTCAGTTTCCAAACAAACGACACATGCAATCAGCTAATTGGTTCGACGCCGAGATCCTTGCAGAAAGAAGCATCTGGGAAGAAAGAGATGGACGAGAGATCCAATTCTGCGTACCATTTTGGAACGGGAACGAGAGGCGAAGAGCGTCGAAGAAGACGAAAGGTGAACAGAAAACGGAATAAAAGAAGGGAAATTGGGGTGGAGAATGTGACGGAAAGGTGTTCCGCTTTTGGCGTAATATCGAGATGAGTGGGGGACGGAGGAGGGAGGAGTTTATTATATAGCGTGGCCTTTAAAAAGGGGATAAGAATTAAGAAGCCCCGATGGTGTACCGATGTTGATCCAACGGCTGGCCCACGTCATATTATGGTGCTTTTTATTTTTGACTGCGTAAAACTTTGAACCATTGAATTCCGTCGGACCGTTGATTCGATGTGCGTACGCAGAGGGCATATCCGATCTGGCGAGTCGCAGGAAAATGACTCTTATCACAAACCTGCGTCGTTAGTGGCAAGAATGATGGACCTATAAATTGGGTCCCGGAACTCTCGGCCAATCACAAGCGGGGTAAGACGGCCACATCGGTGTTCACTTAAGATAGTCGAATCATGTCCCCGTCTTTCGTGGCTTGAATCCTGACCCGAGTGGTCTTGCGAAAACATTTCTCCTCCATAAATGGAAGGGTGCCGCGAGCCGACACGAAGGGTTCGTAACGGACGGCCCAGGTGGCGGAGCGGTTGTTCGGCTCAGGGGTTCACATGTCGGTGGGGGCGCGTGTGGGTCCTCGAGATCCATGATTGAGTACGTTCCGAGTGGTGACACGATTCGGGTTCTGCCGACTTGAAGGACACGTGTCGGGACGCAGGGCCGGGGGCGGTTCCGTAAACGGGTGGCGGCCCGCAGCGGGAAGACGACGGCCGGTAGTTTCTCGAAACGCATCTTATGCTTGGAAGTTTCCAAATCGGACCGCAAGAAATCCCAAATTGAGTTCGGTCCGGTACTTACTATGGAAAAGATATTCTCGTTGGCCAATTGGTCTCCGAATTTTAGGTTGAAGGAGGGAAATTGCAGCTCTCAGTCGCCATGCTTACGCTCCATTGCAATCTAACGCATTCGTTAATGACATATGACATTTTCGTCGATCAATAGGTCTCCGGATTTTAGGTTTGAGTAGGGAAATTGCAGCTCTCAGTCGTCATCCTTACGCTTCATCGGCTCAATGGTTCATCGGTTATGGCCGGGATGCATCATTGTCTCTGAAACCAAACCTGAGGGATTTCATGTGGAAGGCATCATTGTGAACCACATGTAGCACATTAAAAGAGCGCTCCCGACAACCCACCCCGTGAGGGTAGAAGAGATATCGTCAGAGAGGATATGAGTGGAGGCAAGAAGAGGTGCCCAAAGTTGAGGGACTCCACGCCAAAGAGAGTCCCTCCATCCATCACTGAGCCGCCCATACCGTCGTTGACTTGGTGGTCTGTCAGTCCATCAGGTTATGACTTCCATTCAAGATGCCTTTTTTTTTTCTTTTAAAATCAAACGTTCATCCTTTTATGAATGAAAAAAAAAAAAGAAATGTTAAATTTTTTATTTGATCCAATTAGATGGAGATTTGAGAACAACAAAAGAAGTGAGATGAACAGTTTAAGAATCTTCTATAGCTTTCCTATGAAGGGGGGTGCACATAATTTGCAGTTTTCTTCTCCTTGTGGTGGAATCCAGATTAAAATATACTGCCCTCTTCTGTTGGCAGCGTATGTTGTCATGGGCTCCACTAAAGAATAAAGAACAATCAATCTAGTAAAGGGAAAAAAGAAATCTAGTCCTAGCATCGGTGGAGTTGATGCTGGCTCGTGTTCGAGAGACATGTGACCCACTTTTATGTGAAATGAGAAAGAAAAGGTGAAATGGATATTTTAAAGGCCTGAACCTGATGAGAAATGAATATAATGATCAAAATAGAGGAGTTGAATGCATTAAGCAAAATAGATTCCCTGTTAACCTTTGTGAGATAATTAGGCTTAAGGTTGGTCGTCTTGTCGGATTCTGCAGCCCTTATGAAACTTGTGGATTTCTACGACTTGGAGGCATCACATGAAAACGGATGTCAAAAGCAATACTTAAATAGGTATTGGATGTCAAGTTTCACTGCATGTGAACAGGTCATGTCCTAAGGAGCAGTTTTGTAGAACTTTGCGCGAGGGCGTGACAGATCGAGCTATGGAAAGCAATTTGGTATCCCCATTTTAATTCAAAATTATAATGAAGATGATGAGATGACCATACTCTTGTAAAAGGTGACGAATGTATGTAAAAAGATGGATAAAAGACTAAAGATATCAAGAAAATTAACTGTTTAGTACATGATAATGGTGTGTATCACAGAAACCTGGTCTCAACCTTAGTGTAATGTTGTAGTTTATGATCACCTCATTTGACACCTATAAACAAATCCAATGTGTTTATATAAAATACTGATCTAAGTTAATGCAGACACAGTGACTTGATTATGGGAAATTGATTGTTTTCTTTTGCTAAATAAATCAACTCTTTTGGAGATTTTTTTTTTCTAGTATAATTTGTTTTTTCTTGATGCAATTTTTTTTTTCTTTGTTTCAATTTCCTTACTATATCAGTACCAATCATGACCGACCACACATTAACCAGTCATGAAATATAGAAATATCAAACCCACGCATGATAGAGGGCAACATCCAGCTGAACAGATAATAGAAGCTCACCACAAACAATTCTTGGATGCTGACAGAAAAGGTTGTATTTCCACATATTCTAGCAAAATGAATCCTTTAGTTCAGATGACATCCATGAAAAATGAGAAAGGTTTTATATGATGACCTCATAATCTTAATTGAGAAATAGTAGCACAAATTCGGAATCAAAAAAACAAAATTTGATGCTGAAAGAAATTTCATAATTTAACTACATGACTATAGCTCCAAACCATATGATTCAAGCCTAAATGACTTGTATCATAAGGATCATGAAACAAGAAGCCAAACCTTGACATGAACACCAATGTTAACCAACACCGGATTTAAGCATAGAAAAGTTCTACAAAAGTTCTACATGCATCAGAATCAAACAGACAAATTTATTCATTCAAGTTATAGCATATAAAATACAAGCTGATTATTAAGGTGTTTTCTTACAGATCGGATGTATTTACTCAAAGAAAAATGTTTGACTGTACACAAATTATGCCTGGTATTCAGCCTATAATATATGGCGACAAATTTTCTGCATGTTACAGGTAAAAAAAAAAATGGAAATAAGTGTACTGTAGTCATACATTATTTACGGTCTCACACTGTTGGATGGTATCCAGGATTTAGGGTCACTTGTGTCAGTTGGAGGTTTCTCCTCGCACCCCACTCTTGACAGCATTCTAGTGCGAGCCGAAAGGAAGTGCCTAATCCGAGTACGATAAGAACACCTGCAGCGTTTGCTATCTACATCACATGACACATATGTACATAATTTCTTTAACTTTTTTTCTCAGAAGACAAGAAGTTAGATTCCAAATAATACAAAACAGCAATGTCAAGAAGCGTTCTGCCTGTTCATTCTTGTACTGGTAAACACTCAACGATTAATTTTCCACAGGGAAATCATGTGCATGAAAGGAACATTGAATTAAATGTATTATATGACAATCACACAAATCTAAGTGTCCATCTTAGCATGGTCATGTACAATCTAAATAAAACACTTCTCATTACAGTAGTCAATGCTTCAACCACACCCTTGGGTTCTCAATCATTTTAATCTAGACTCTCAGTCTTACTCTTAAAATAGCTTCACAATAAGTGATTTGAGCAAACTCCTTGTGAGAATAGACATTCGAGTTCGTTACAACTTACAATAGAATAATCTGATTGCTTGCCCACTTGTGCACCATTTTTCTTCCATGTTTCAACCAATTTAATTCTTAATGGATGATCTATGAGGATGGTGTTCAAATAAATTTATTGTAGCTGTTATGAATCCAAAGCTTATATACATGTACGAGGATCATGAGAAGCCACTCAAAATGATACCATCGCACTGGAAGGGAAAGGAAAAAGGGGCTTGATTTTAATAGGAAAGAGCTGGATGAGAGAGAAGACATGTGCAACTGGCTGTTAACTTAAAATAAACACTTCAGAAAAATTCCCAGTGCATATCTGAGGTAATTTATGCAAGAAACTTCAGATCAGCAAATAAGTAGACTTCCTCGCCCACCTTTTATCTCATGAATCAAATCAATATGACTCCTAAAGTCTAAAGTTCCAGAATTTTGGGCAGTTGTCTGCATCGTGTAAACAATAGATCTCTGTAGGAGTTTATCAGAAAGCCAGTTATATAGCAGTAAAAAAGTATTCATATCTCTTTTTTTTCAGGCGAGTCACCATCACAATTTTTTCAATCTCTTTCTCTAAATTGTTGCCTAAAGAACAACATGTATTCATCCAATCAACTTAATGTTCTCTTTAAGATGATCAAACACACAGTTTGGAGATAAACAGTCAAATAAAATTGATGAACTAAATAGATATGTGCTTCTGGTAGGATACAAATGTTACCAATTATGATGTTCACAGGCAGTGCAGAAACACCAAGAGAAACCGAGACTAGCACATCCAACAAGAGTCCGCCAACTAAAATGGCAAATGCAACCCAAAATGGGCTAAAGCATCCCTGACAGCACAAAGAACCAAACAAGTACATATAAGCAATGGAATGAAATCTACAATGAAGATGGCAAAATGGCAAGAACAATCACGGTGTTGGTGCTGGAAAATAGGAAATTTATTCCATGAACATTTGAGTACTCGATGATGCAGATCATGCAATGCTAAATTGTAGCTCAAGCAACCTTAGAATTATAAATACCCTTTCACGTTCTTGTCCCATGATGTAAGCTGTGTTGATCCTCCAGACCCAGTTATTTACCTATACAGCAAATGGAAAAGGAAAACACAAAATAAACCTTACTAGATTACCCAGCAACTTCCTGAATATAACAAACCTCTAACCTGAATAATATCTAAAAGTTGTAACATAGGGTGCTAACTACATCGAAAAAAGTAATCTTCAGGAAGTCTAAGGTTCATATAACAATTTTTTGCTAATACATGCCAATATATTGAGAATGATATTAAAACTAACTTTTAGTTATTAAGTTCTCCATATGTTTAATAGTCTTGATAAGTACCAAAAAAAAAAAGTAAATTGGTCCGTGGCTCATAACAAGTAACTGGTGATACCAATAACCAATAAAGTGGTCTTCATGTTACTCAGAATTAACCAACTATACTCTTTCTAGTTCGATATACTTACACTCGGTCCTGATTCTGGAAATGGTACATTTGCAGCTATCTGCCTGGACAGAAAGGAATCTAAATAAGAAACCAGCCTTATCTACAATATACAGAACCGAGAAAATCACTTCTCAAGAAAAACACTTACTGGCATATTTCACATTTATTTGAACCTTTTGTATGGAACCAAGTATCAATACAGGAGCGGTGAGCTTTAGCAAGCTCACCTCGGCATCTGCACCCTAGATCGATCAGTGGTTCTTCTGTTTCCTGCTGACAAACCCTGCACAAGTTTTACAGCAACACAAAATCAATAGCTAAAATGACAAAGAAAAAAGTTGAAACTTCTTCTGTAATATTTAACTATAACATATAAGCAGCAAAAGCACAATGCAAAGTCAATAAACACAAGGTGTGGATTAACTGTTGATACGGATTAGCAAAAGCTGAAGTCAATGGTTCATGCTTTATGCAATCAAATTCATCCTCCTTAAACATGGAATGGGATGGCACTAACAGGAGCAGCAGCAATCAGGAAGTCAATGCCGGTTAGCTTGATAAAATATAAGCTTAGAAACCAGAAGAAACTGAAAGTCTTCCAGGTATCAGAAATGATACAAGAGTTGTAAAAGAAAAAAAGAACTAGAGGATACAAGTAGCATTAGAAAACTGGAGGATGAGAAAAATTTCCATCCTAAATGTGCATGCCCAAGTTAATGTATTTAAGCAAAAGTTGATTCCTGGCTATTTCAGAAATACAAGTTTACAGAAGGAAATCTTACATTAAGCAACTGAGTCTATTTGTTTACAGATTTTGTTTGGGTAACTGCAGTTACGTTATCTCCATCAATGAATTTTTTTAAAAACAGGTGAACAGACAACAAAAAGGATATGATGGCTTCATGTTCCATGGAATGTACCAAACTCAATTAGTGCTGAAAGCAGCTTGCAACTAATTCCACTCAAAATTGGATCCAGTAGCTGTACTCATATGTCCTTGTAAGCAGGACATGGCAGTCCTTCATGCAAAGTTATAGCGAGCCAACAGTGGTTTATATAAGCTAACGTGAAGTTCCCAAAACCTATCCCAGCTTGCTTGCAATTGAGCCTTGGAGGAAGGAGAGAACAGTTTTAATGCTAACAGAGGCAGCAAATGAGAATAGCAAGGTTCACTTTTACCCTGTGATCCTTATCTATTCTTTTGCCCCTTCATCTCGTTCATCATCTTCCCTTTCTTTTGCTCCCCTATAATTTCTGTAGTTCTCAAAACTGAACCGAGCAGTGACCCGGTTGAGCCTCAAACAATTGGGCCATTGATCAAATGGGTTAATCAACAAGGTTAGACAACAGTGTAACAAAAAAAAAGAATTTCCGTCATGTTAAAATATATATAATTATAAAAACATTTTTATAACAAAAAAATAAAAACAATTAAAATGAATTGTTTGAAAAGGTTGGAGGAATCCGTAGAACTCATTGGCCAAGCAGATAAAAGTATGAGCCCTCATGGGTTAATTAAGGAAAGAGAGGAAGAGAGAGCAAACTCAGAAAAAAGAGAGGACAATGGCGAGAAAAGGCGATAATGAGAGAGGGTGAAGGCCAGAGGAGAGAAGCATAGTGAGAGAGATGTTATCCAAAGATATATGTTCGCATCAAAGAACATATGGAGACAAATGGCCATATTAATGCTGCAACCAAGAATTCTGTAATGTCGATTTTACAATCCTACTTCCAGAAAGTAATGAATTCCTATTCATCAATTCATTCATGCACAAAACATGGCATCTAATGTGGAAACAGACTTAGAAACATCAATCATGTTTTACCTGCACTGTTCCTGATAGCTCCCACTCCTAGATAGGAAACCCTTCTTTGAGGCAGCCATCCCAGGAATCTTGTCACCTGCCTCAGAAGCTACTGCACTTTTCGAGGCACTAATGTTGGGTTTTGAGATGTCATCTGGTTGGAAGATCGTGATGCTCAGTGCCAAAGGAGGCACGGATCCGTCCACAGGACCCTCCTGCGGAACTGTACCTGCTCCTCTTCTCTCATTGCCACTAAAATTCAAGGTTGAATCTATATTTGGTTCAGAAACACCCTCATGTCTTTTCTGCTCTGCTCCACCACTCTCATCATTCGGCATCGATACTCTGCAATACAACCAGTCTTCAGCCTTCCACTTGACCCTTTGGTACTTAAAATTTCACAGTTTCTGCGTTCTCCCCCAAGTGCTTCATGGACTGGTGCAACAAGAGAGATTTCATGTAAATGCTATTGTATTGGTTTCATACTTCAAAAAAATCTTTAATAAAGACAAAGATATATATATATATA